TGGAAAGAAACGCATGTAACCATCCACGCCAATTCTGCCTGGGAGGACCCCGCCATCTGGGCGAGACCGGGTCCGTGGAGTCCAAGTGCCATGCCTGCTAGATCGCGATGGCCATAACCAAAACCACGAATTCTGCTCGAGATGTACAGGCCATCCGGACGTGAGCGGGCCCGTGACGACCCCTTGTCGACACACCCTTTTGGAGGCCGTGTGCGAGCGAGTATGAACATGATCTGAGCCCGAGTGGTGCTTGATTAAGACATGGGCTGATCTGAGCCTGAGCGAGTCTGAGCCAAGAGCGAGAAAACGTACACATACCTCTACCCTAGGGCCGTTTCCCATTTATCGGCCTCCTGGGAGGCCCTCGCCGCCACCGCTGGATTCGCCTCGAAATTCTGGTCAGAACGCACCCCTGGAGAGGTCCGCGAGGTAGCGGTATCGGTACCTATTGGTTCCCCCATGGGCATGAGTGAGTGCGAGTGCGCATGAGCCTGATAATGGCTGCGCGTGAGTGAGTCTGCGCATGCGTAATAGTGCAGGGCACGAGTGTAAACGAGTCTGGAGACGAGTGAGTCTGAGTACGAGTGGGTCTGGTCTCAGCGCGAATGAATCACAGCCTGCGCGAGACTGAGTATGAGTGACTTCGAGTGTGCGTGAGTCTGAATAGGAGTGAAGCTGCGTGTGAGCGAGTCTGTGCATGAGTATGCGTATGAGTTCGCGTGAATCTAAACAGGTCCGGATACGAGTGAGTCTGAGTATGTTCGGGGGTTGGAGTTTAGTGCGACTGGGTCTAAGCTGGGCTGGGTCTGGACGTCAATATGAGTGTGAGTGAGTCTGGCTTTGAGTGACTCTGAGCCTGGGTCGATATATGTGTGTAAGACGTGCCCGCGCCGCGAAGCCGCCAACAACCCAACTCGCCACTGAACCAGCCCGCCAATCTGCCAACCCGCGGAGATGCCAACCGGCCTGCCCTATCTTCCAGTCCACCAGCCAACCGAACCACTCAGGCAATCAAGGGGGGCAAAGGGGCGAAGCCCTTCAGCTACCCTCGGTGTGAACACGCCCTGGATCGCAAAAAAACCAAAGGATTGCAAAACAAACCCTAGGGTTTTCAAAAAAACCCTAGGGTTTTTTTGCAATCCTTCGTTCAACCTAGGGTTTTTTTGCAATCCTAGGGTTTTTTTGCAATCCTAGGGTTTGTTTGCAATCCTAGGGTTTTTTGCAATCCTGGTTTTTTTTTGCAATCCTTCATGCGAGTTATGTTCAGAGCAACACACACACACAAACTACATGATTCGATATGACACACGCACCTGCTCTGACATTTACAACGTGCGTGTGTAATACGGGTACCGCGCATGACCAACATGGTGATCACATCGGCACTGTTGAGCTTCATAGTGTTATGGACAATTTCAAGATGATTGGGTGTTCCCCTCCCCCTTCCCCCCTCCCCACAAATCCCACATGCCGTTTGTGGGGTCAAGCGAAGTCGTCGGTGCTCCTCTCACGCCCTCCGAACCTCCAACTGCGCCCACGCTGCCCACGATGCGCACCAAGACGGCGCCAGAATGGCTCCAGCGTGCTCGCGCGGCCCGGAAAAGACCAACCATGGCTGCAGTACTGCCAAAGAGGCCCTGAAGACGCCGCAGGAGAGCTCGCAGAACACCCCCAAGGCACTCCCAAAAGGCAACCCGAACCGCAAGGTGTTCTATTGATTCTGGCGCATTCGCCTCCCATGGACTGCTGGCGGCCCACCACGCTCCCGAAACTCGCCTCTCACGGCCCTAGAGGAACCGAGACAACCCGAGAGAGTCACGAGACGGCCCCTGCCGCATCCTGGGCGGGCTCAAGAGGCTCCACCGAGAGAGCCCCAAGAAAGCTCCACCGAAGAACTCGAACGGGCCCCGGGAGCGGCCCCCCCCCCCGAGATGGCCCCCAAGGCCCTCATCAGACCCCCAAAATGGCCCCCCAAAATCACCATAAGAGCCTAAGACTCATCCCGGGTGCCGTACAAGAGTCCCAAGAGGCGCCCCCGACGCTCCAAAAGGCCTCCCAAACGCCCTGCAACAGACCGTCAGAGACTTTCCTGAAGGCCTCGTTCTCCTCCTGCTCCTTGTCATCTTCTTCTGCAGTCCTTGCAGATCCTACGTGCAGCTGGAGTGATCGCCTCTTCTGGTGATCCGCGGATTGGCGTATGCATCTTGAACATACGATTTGCGACGATATCTATCTATCTATCTATATATCTATATATCTATCTATATATCTATCTATCTATCTACACTTACATGTATATTCATATATACATATGTGTATGTACATGTACTAGAACCACGCGCGCGCTTCGCGCGCTTAGGTTCTAGCAGGCCCCAGGCCTTGACGAGTTCACTGCTCCACTGAATCAGTAGACCACAGATGGTTTGAGCGGGAAGTGAAGAAGTGTCCATAACGCTGAAAGCATGGTGGGCAATCAAAAGTCCACGCGCGTCAACCCGCATTCTGGAAGGCTTTCGGGGAAGATACTTGTGTGGGAGGGCGGAGGCCTGATGAATCGGGTTCCCAGGAGGCCTTCTGGGAATCTGATTTTTTTGGGCGTCTTGGGGAGCCTGTTGGGGCGTGTCGTCGTCGCCTTGATGTCGTCGTCGCCTCTTGGGGCGCGCCGTCGTCGTCGTCGTCGTCGTCGTCGTCGTCGTCGTCGTCGTCGTCGTCGTCGTCGTCGTCGTCGTCGTCGTCCCCGTCTTCGTCGTTTCGTCGTCTTCGTCGTCGTCGTCGTCATCGTCGTCGTCGTCGTCGTCGGATGGGCCCCTACTAGGATCCAACAAGCGCAGTTTCCCACTCCAGACCAAAGCCCGACGACCCCAGGGCCCGAGAGAGGCCCCCGAAGGCAGAAAGCGCCGAACCACCGTAGCGAAACTCGAAAAAACCGTCGTCTTCGTCGTCGGCGGATTCGCGCGGTTTCGCTCCACGCCGGCCCCATCGCGCTGCGGCACGGGGCGCGGGCGCCGAGGGGCGGCGCCCGACGCGCCTGCGCGTCGCGGTGGACGACGGCGACGGCGGCGGCGGCGGCGGCGGCGCCCAGGGGTCCGGGAGGCCAGGCCGCCCGCCCGCGCCCAGACGCCAAGGGCTCGGGGAGCTCCACGAGGCCGGCGGCGTGCAGGCCGGCCGTTGGGGGGACGAAGAGATGCCGCTGCCGCCAGTCCCCGGACCTCTCCCCGGGGCGCCATTCCCAAGTCGACGACGACGACGACGACGACGGCGCAAGACCTCGGCCCCTCCGCAGGACCGGCTGAAGCCGATCACTAAGTCAAAAACTTGGGCCCCAGCGTGCGGAGAAGCGGGAACACGTCCCGGGTGCTACCATACGGTTCAAAAGGGCACTTGGGGCAACTTTGTGTGAAACGATCCGCGGAGGGCCGCGAGAAGGCGATCAGTCATGTTCCCAATGAACCTCCCGAACAGCTCCCCGGTACCGTGATGGTACTTGAGCTCCCGGAGAGCCCATGATGAACCATGTCCCAAGAAGGCTTTCTGGGGACATGATTTGTTGGGGTGTGTTGGGGGGCCTCTTGGGCGTTTCCTGGGGGCCCCTTGGGGTTTCCTGGGGGCCTCTTGGGGGCCTCACGGGGCTTCTTGGAAGCCTCTTGGTGGCCTCCAGGGGCCTACTGAGGGCTTCTAGGGCCAGAGACCTCTTGGGAAGCCTCTTGAAGCCGTCCTGGAGCGTGTTGGAGTCCTCGTCGGCCGTCTTGAGGGCATCTTGGGCGTCGTCGGTCGGGGCCTCTTGGGACTGTCTTGGGCCCTCTTGGGACCCCCTTGGCCTGTCGTGGCCCGTTTCGGGGCGGGCCAGGGCCGTCTCGGGAGCTCTGGGCCCCCTCAGAATCCCCAGGGGGCGCCCATGGGGGGTACAGGCACCAGCCCGCCCCCCCCCCCCCTTATATATATATATATATATTATATATATATATATATATATAGCACACATACATTTGTTTACATATATACATGTGCATCTATAGTTACATGTAGCAATGCTACACAGCTACACGGCAATGTATCAATGACTATATATATATTTGTATATATACATATATTTGTTATGAATATATATATATATATATACATATATATGTGTGTATACACATATATATATATACATATAGGTTCTTGTTGCGGTCTGCTGCGGCGAAGGCAACAACGTGCTGTTATTCGTCAATCACGGTGCGGCTGCTGCAAACGGATGGTGGTCTGAGGCGCACCAAAGTGGATAGAAATCTGCTTGCGCGTGGAATTGTAAGCTCAGGGCCAGAACGACTGCATGCATGTCCAGATTCGCTATGCGAGCCTGGAAAGGGCTCCCTGCGCACACGCGCCCGTTGCTTGGAAGGGTCTCCGTCCTGACAGTCTTGCGTTGTCGGCGAAGAGAGGAATCGCGGCGTGGCTGCTGAAAACCGAAGCACAACCTAAATGAAAGTTCATATAGGCCTACCACAAGAGGTGTTTCGAACATTCTTTGGTGGGCCTATGATTTGGCCAGCCAGGACGCCTCGCCACTGCTCGATTCGCTCCAGTCCCCTCGGAGAAGAGGAAGAGGCTGAAACCAAAGCGCCTGGCAGGCGCTGGCCAACTCCTGCCAGCTGGCTGGGGCGCAGCGCCCGAAGAGCGCGCCGCGGACCCGCGGAGCGGGGCGGCAGCCTCGACGTACGCGCGCCACCAGATTGAATTTTCCTCCCCCCCCCCTCCTTGTTTTCTCCTCCCCTCGTGTAAGACGAAACCAGGAAGAGGATAAATCGGGTGAGGATAAATCGGGAATCTCTGTGATCTGGCGGCTCTGGATAATGTCTCGGGCGCCGCGGCCTTCTCAGAGCGTTCTGGAACGCTCTGAGAGCATTCCAGGACACTCTGGAACGGGTCTATCCTCGTCCTAACTCCGTCCGATCGCGACCGTCTTCTCATCCGTCTCCTCCACATGCCATCGGACATCGGGTGCCCGTCAGCGCCAGTCACCCTCCCAATCCCGCAGACATGCGGCGGCACGCGTTGCAAGCCGTGACGGCCGCGCGCGCGGCGGACCGAAGCGGCGGTGAAGCCCTGCTGCTGTGGGTGGCCTCCAGCACCGCGTTCTCCACCGCCAACTCCTTGGGAAACCAGACAGGTACCGACACCGCTGCTCTCTGGACCTCTCCAGGTGTGCGTTCTGACAAGGATCTCGGAGCGAACTCAGCGGTAGCGACGAGGGCCTCCCGGGAGGCCCAAGAGGGTGAAGACGAGGCCAGGGCAGCGGTATCGGCACCTCTTCCTCCTCTGAGCTCCAGTGCCCCCGAGACGGCGCATCCGCCGAGCCCGCCCGCGGCCTGCGTGGCTGCCTGCCCGGCGGCCCGGGCGCGAGCCGAATGGCTGCCGCTCTGCGTGCCCGTCGCGGCCACGGCCACGGCAGCCGCCACGGCCGCGATGATCGCCTGCTGGGGGCTGGCCGGGTCCACGTCGCTGTCGCCCCCGAACGCGCCGGCGTCCCTCCGCGTGAACCACACGAGCTCGTCGCGCGGGGCCGCGCGGATGGCCGTCCGCAGCGCCGGGGGCAGGAGCTTCTCGCGCCCCGCCATCCACAGGGCGCAGATGAGGCTCTCTTCGGCCCGTGCTCGCGTCAGCGTGGCCTGCACCCTCTGCTTGTTGGAGCTGTACGCGTCGCCCATCACCTGAATGAAGATATTGGCCATCGACACCATCAGGATGAATCCGAATATCATCAGGACGATGTAGCCGAAACTGGTACGAGACCCCTCGGGCATGTCGAGACTGCTCATGGCGTCCGGATGTTCGTCCAGATCAAACGCCTGGCTCACGAACAGCCGGGGCTTCAGCTCGCCAAGAAATCCCATGCGGTAGGTGTCGAATGCGATTGCCGACAGCGGTAGGCGAGTCAGAGAGTACGACGCCTGAACAGAAGCTGCCAAGATGAACGATGTCACGAAGAGGAATGACGTCGCGTCGCTCCATGCACTCATGATGGGGAGAAACCGCTTCCCAATAACAGTGAAGGACCTCGCGAGGAACAACAACTCCATCCAGCAGAAGGCTCCTGACGACGCAAAAGCAATTGCCGCCGTCCTGGGGAAGTAATACAAGGTGCCTCTCAACAGCATCACAATGAGGCAGATCACCGTGAAACTCTGTAACCACCATACACACGTGCGGTAACTGTACAAGAAATACCCGTCAAAGCTTCCAAACATGACGCGATATCCCACGATGCCAAACAGCAACCTGCTGACAGTCATGGTCCATGCTGCGACCATCACGCCGAGAAGAGCCCACTCGAAAGACGTCCATCTTCGGGTACCCCAAGCATCGGGGGACTCATTCCGGAACGAATACGTAAATCTGAAAATCGATACCATCATACTCGCGATAATGAACATCTCCCGGACAATAACCATTGAGCATGTATGGAAGGCTGCTGTTACGATCGCCTGAACCTGCTCCGACTCCAGTAGGCACTCTTCGGGCGTGAAGACGAGGCTCCTCAATACGACAGGATGGGTCAAGCCTTTCTGCTTCAGCTTGCATACCTTCATGTCCACACATCCGTGCCTGATCTGGTACGTGAGTCCTCTACTTTCGCTGTGCCAGCGGTCCGTCATGATGCCGTCGACCACCATGTTGCTGTGAGGCTTCCTGGGCAAGAGCTTCGCGTTGCCGACGGCGCCGGCCGGGCCGTGCTCCAACACCTTGGAGAAATAGCGGATCGGGAAGTACGAGATGTCGGATTTGTCGTCCTCGAACCAGTACACGAACCCGCCCATGCCCTTATCCTTATGGAAATAATTTGGCCCATAGAAACAGAAATGTGTCGCCCCCTTGCGCTTGATGGCAGGCAGCGTCGTCGGCTGAGGCTTCAGATCCTGCCCCTTGTCTACACCCTCCCGGAATCTCTCTCCCATCCGCACCCCGTGGGAACTGACATTCGCAGTGAGCTGGCTTACCGCTAGGCACTCTAAACCTGCGCCCAAGTACAGGAACCCCCCAGTTCTGAAGTGAAAATGCGGATATACATAAGCGAACTTCTTCGTAGCCTCCGGTGCTATGCCATGCGGGATCTTACCTAGCGGGAAATTGAAGTCAAACGGTTCCGTGGCCGCCAGATTATGGAGGGTACTGTGGCTATGCAAAACAGTGAAGCGACCCTCGCCTTCCAGTACTTCGTAAATCATGTTGTCGCCTTTCCACTCGACGCGAGGAGTGAGGTAGAACGCGCCGATTTTTTCAGGGAAATCGCGCATGCCATGTTCGACCGGCTCTTTACCATCGAACACGACCATCTGCACTTCCGACTCTTCCAGCCACTTATAGACGGGCACCCCTGGCACGATCAAATAATTCGACAGCAGGCGCGCGAATCGTGATGGTGGCTGCAGCCAGCTTGCGTCGCCCCTCCGGCTGGAGAGCTTCTTGGACCCCCCGTTCTCCTCGTCGCTTTCCTCGTCCATCGCATTGAATTGTTTACCCGCCAGCTGGAAGTAGCTGCTGGCAAGTCGCACGTGCATGAACAGCGGCATGTCGATAGCTTCCAACATCCTCACGAGCTCGCCCTTCAGTGCGGCCTCCTCCAGCACCCGAGACCTCCGCTCAAGCGGCCATTGCCCAGCGCTGGCCTTCTCCAAGAGCCTCTCCATACTGGGGCCTGCGATCGCGTCCCTCTCGAACTCCATGAAGCCGTCCGAATCCTCGTCGGACACGCTGGCATCGGAGTCCTCCCCGCTGACGTGCATGTAATTCCCCGCGTTCTCCCTGCTGCTCCACGTCCTTTGGCGGCGCGCAAAAGGAAGCTAAGGGGGACAGGAGAAGGTTGTTTAGAAGGAGGCCCCTACTTCCAGGGTGCCAGCCTTACATCCACCACAGGCAAGGTCCGCGCCTTCTGAAAAAGCAGGGGTCGCAGGGGTGCCTCTAAAAAGAACTCCCCCATCCCCTGCCCCGCGTCCTGCTGCTCCACGTCCTGCTCGCCACCCACTCCCGGCTCATGCCGCCCCCCCTCTGAAGGGGCGCGGGCCGCCGCCCAGGCAGCGCGCGACGAGGGGGGCGCAGGCCTCCTGCCCAGTGCCACGGAACGGCTGCGGCTCGAGCCAGGGTGGCCACGGCACCGCGCTCGGCGTGCGCAGGGCTCAGCATCACGAGGCTCTCATGCTTTGAAGGAATACTTGTTGGTTTTCTGCGGAGTCTCTGCGCGCGTGCCGCAGGTTGCGTGCACGCCCGCCTGTGCGCCCCTGCGCGGGGCAGCGTTGAAGTCGCTGCCCCCCCGCACATACACTCGCGTGCTATGCCTGCACGTGCCCGCGTATCCTCATGATCCATGCCCACGAGGCCTCTGGTCAGGAATGCCTTGCCATACCCGCACATGCCCTGTAAAGTCGCATGGCTGCGACCAAGTAAACCCTAACCTGGTTTGTCAATTCCCCACCGCGGCCGTTGACAGACTGGGCCGACTGGGCCCGTGGCAAACGCCCCCCCCCCATTCACAACCGTTCAAGAAAAACACAACGCGCAGACACTTTCAAACGACTAGACAGCCCAATTGCAAACGAAAACCACGCTGCCGATAACGCGCGGTGGAAGGGCCGCTGCCCTGAAACCAACCGACACGCGCACAAAGCCTCTCGCAGGCCATGCCAACCTACTTGCCGCGGCACGAGCGGAAAGCCAAACGGCGAAGGCCCGCCGCCTGGAAGGCCTGCCTGCGGGACGGGCGAAAGAACAGCGACACCCTTTCCCGTGGAGGGCCTGCAGATAGGAGGGGCAGGATGCTCCAGGGACTCCGATACTAAGGCGGACTGACCATGGCAAGGGCGAGGGCGGGGTGAAGGAGAACTGGACTTTAGCCCGACGCCATGAGACGAATAGCTGTTGGACACGACCAGTGGCTGCGCGACTCCGTGTATCACGCGTGGCCTCGGAAACGAAATCACGCGCACGAGACGCCCCAACTCGCTCAAGGGCCGAACGTTCGAGCACCTACTACCTCGCCAGAGCAACGGGTGCAAGCAAAGCGGGGAGGGGGAATGTGTTGATTATCCCCATTCCTGCAGCGAGGCTCGGCGATGATAGTCGGCGCCATGACTAGTCATGTATGGTTGTTATCTTCGCTACTCTGGGAGGGGCGGGGGCCAGCGAATACTGCTCTAATGAAAAAAACGAGATGCAAAAATCTGCTGCAATAGTTGTCACGGGTGACCCCGGGGGAGGGAGAGAACTGCCGGGCAGTAACTGTCATAGGTGGCCCCCGGAAGTAATCGCGTGCATTGGGACAACCGACAGTGATCCGCCACCGTGCCCCCTGGCACGCTGAGGCATGTTAGAATGCCAAATGCTGTCTTGCAAGGCTTCTGCAATCTTCTCAGGGACCCCCCTCCGGGGAAGCGCCCGGACGCGTGTATCTTCCCATCTTTCCATGGCTGTCGACGGCCCAGACACGTCTCTGGCGCTCTCCAACGCTCCCAAGATGCTCAAGGTAGCCTCCCAGATGGACCGGGCAAGCCACCAGGGTCGCCAAGATCGCCCAAGAGGCCCCAATGACGGCCACTGATGGCCCCAAGATGGCTCAGGATGACCTCGAGACGGCCCGAGAGGGAGGCTTCCAAGACGACCTCAGAGAGCTCCGAGAGAGCTTGTGCAAGGTCCCAGTGGTGCGTTCGCTGCCTGTGCAGGGTCCCAGTGGTGCGTTCAATCTCTGCGTTGATTCCAGTTGTGCGTTCGCTGCCTGCTTCGATTCCAGTGGCACGCATGGCTGCCAACATTGGTTACCTCAGATGCAACATGCTGGCAATATGTTTGAGGGCATGCCCAGATCGGACGCTACCTCATATACATGGTTATGTTCGTGCGGTGTCAAGCCGCATTGACAAGAAAGCTTCGTTATGGTTTCGAGGTGCTTTCCGAATGCTTTCAGGATGTGTTCGGGATTTGTTTCGGGATGTGTTCGGGGTGTTTTCGGGATCGTTTCGGGATGTTTTCGGGATGCGTCTCGGGATGAATTCGGGATGTTTCAATTCCCGTCGGCACTCTTCAATTCCCGTCGTCCTCTGCCCGACATGGTTTTCACTGCATTTACTTCCCGTCGTGTTTTTTTCAATTCCCGTCAGACCACCGTCGTGCGCGCACGGCACCATGAGGATGGCTTCGGGATGGTGTCGGGATGTTATCGGGATCGCTTCGGGATCGTTTCGGGATGTTCTCGGGATGTTTCTGGGATCGTTTCGCGATGTTTCGAAAGGTTTTCGGCATGCTGTCGGGATGTTTTAGGGACGCTTTCGGACGAGACCCTCGCGTGCGTATTGGGGAGCACGAGTGGAACAATGAGCGGGGGCGCCGCTCAAATCGGGCAGGAGTGAGCGCAGGGAAAAGGAAAACTCGGAGCAGGAGGGGGACGGGCAGGAGGAGGAGGAGGAGGTCCAAGAGGAGGAACAAGGAGGAGCAATATCAACGGCCCCTGTTGTCCTGCGAACCTCCTGTGCACATATACCCCATGACCCTCTTGCGCCTCGTGTCACCCTCTTGTTCCCTGCGAACTCCACGGGCACTGTGGGCCTTGTAAGCGCCGTGATCACAATAGTCCCCGTGAGCCCTCCAAGTCCTGTACCCCATGTGCCCCATGACGTCCTGATCCTTATGATCCGCACGGCACCTGTGAGGCTTACGGCCCCATGCGCCTGGCGAGGTTGAGCCTCGGTGCACCCCTTGGGCCGTATGTGCTTTACAACCCTGTGGGCCCTACAAGTTATGATCCCTGTGAGCACCCAAATGCCTGCGGCGACTTCAGGTCGTGCCCAGAATGCCAAGCGACGGCGCGCGAGTCGATATCATATCATTCGAGGGTTTAGCATTGTGTGCGTCCCTGGGGCGATGCCCCGGAATACGCCAGGCAATAAGTGTCACTGGTAGCTCTTTTTAAATATGGCGTCGATGCATCACGTGCAGTGACAACATAATACTGGCCAAGTGCTCAACACATGATCTGGTACTCCTGCTTACTAATTCCCCTCATCCCCTCCACCCCGCTCTCCTGCATCGTTTCTTCTGCTCCTCCATGTGCTTCATGTTCTCTCCTTCCTCGTGATATTCCTCCTCCGCCTCCTCCCTCCTCATTGTCCTCGCTTGTCCTCATTTGCCCTCACGCGGATTGGGGATGTTGTCTGACAAGAAATCATTGTCTTAAAAAACAGCTTCTGCCAGGTGGGTCGGTCGTTCAAGATGGCTGCGGTGCAGAAGCGTTGTAGCTCTTGTCAAGCCGATGGGGGCTGCTAACGTCACAGGGGCTCCGACTTGACGCGCCCCGTCCCCTGCACGCGACATGTCGCAACGTAATATTTGCTGGATTGGCTGACGGCGGAGGCGAAGCTTCAAGGACTGATGATTTTAACTAGATTGCCCCTCGATAGACCAAGAACAAACGCGCGGACTTTTGCAATCGATGTCCACATGCAGAAACATCGCGCTCAACCACCGGGCAACCGAGCAAGTCTCGCCCTCCAGCCAAAACAACAAAAAAAACAATGTCCCTGGCACTGCGGGGCTCGCAAGCTTAGACCACCCCTCCCGAACACAACGAATACTTATACATACATATCTATATATACACATATCTATACCCGAATTCGCCCTGCACTTTGCAATGGTCAACGGCTGAGGCGCACGGAATTGACCGAAGTGCGGAGGCCTACACCGGCCCTGTGCAACACGCGCCCACCAAAAGCCGCTTCGCGTCCGGGCACGGGGCACCAGGACGGAGATCGAACATCCGACGACGGTAATGGGTAACACTTGTTCAGCTCTTCCATGAGCACGAGGCTCTGCAGCATGCCCGCGCGCGCCATACTGCCGCAGGAACAGAACTTGCACGAACGCCCTCCCAAGCAGCCCAGACGACACCTCCAATGTAGATACCACGAGCGGGGGGACAACACAATGGCGGGCCAAGGGGTGCCCGCGGGCGCCGCCGGGAAGTCCGGGTGTCACACATGCCAAGACCATGCCTGGCACACGCCGGCGCAATATTTGCATCACGGCGCCCAGTCGCGCATTCCTGAACGGAGGAAGTGGGGCAAAAGACCGGGGGGGGGGGCGGGAAGGCTGCGGGGGACGGCGGGCCCGTGAAAAAAAGGGGAGGCTGTGCAGGATCTCCGCCGAGCGGCTGACATCGCCAAGCGGGCAGGAAACGCCTCCTCCTGAAACGAGCAAGGCTCCCTCCCCTCCTCCTCCTCCTCCTCCTCCTCCTCCTCCTCCTTCTCCTACCCCTCCTCCTCCTCATTCTCTTCCTCCTTTTCTTCCTCATCCTCCTTTTCTTCCTCCTCCTCCTCCTCCTCCTTTTCTTCCTCCTCCCCCTCCTTCCGACGAGCTGGCGAGCTGAAGGCGCAAGAGTCAGTCGGATGCCGCCCTCCCCCTCCAGCTCGCCCTCCCCCTCCCCCTCCCGCTCCCCCTCCTCCCCTTCCTCCCCCTCCTCCCCCTCCTTTTCCTCCTCCGCCTCCTCTTTTCCCCGTCTCCGGTCTCCTCCTCCCCCTCTTTTTCCTCATTCTCCCCCATTCCTTGTCCTTATAAATCCGCCCACCCCTGAAGGCGTGTGCGACATCCTTCCTGGCTCGACACTGCGCCACCTTGCATCGCTCTAGCACGTCCTCCTCCTTCCGGACCTCGACCCCAGTTCTTCAAAGTTTCCACGATACACCCCACCCACCGGACATTTTCGGGCCATGACACCCACCGGATGCCGCCCACCGATGCCCTCCCACCTCGCCCCGGCACCCTCGGCTCCGCGC